AAATTCAAATACTCAAGGTACAAGTACCTGAAACTGTACATGAGCAAGTGTCTTTAGTTACTTTACCACTGCTGACTTTACCACAGTGCTAATTATCGTATTCGTTAACCAGATGCACACGAAACTCAACAATTTATTATTTAAACCTGTGATTTTCCTACTGTGACAAATGTTAAAATGTTTTCTGTGGACACACAAATAGATCTGTCAATCAATAAAGATTTACAAGGTCTACGCAGGGATAGAAACATTTATAGGGGGACTTCACAATCAGTTATATGCACATTGTAAAACATCTTTTCTTATCGTGGTTCTGGTAAGAGCAGGTTCAGGTGCAGGTGTTGATTCATATTATTGAGCGTGAGACAGACAGAACAGGAAGGGGGAGGGAGTGAGGGAGGGTGTGGGGGGTAATCAACATAGCTGTGCTCCTACCTTTGTGCGACTGCGTGTCGAGCAATGATTTGAAGATGATGATTGTTTTTTTGCAGGAAGCAGAAAGGTTTATTGATCAGGCTTGAGAGGGAGGAGTCTGCGGCTGGGAGATTAGTGCCGTGGCTCCGTAGTCTTGTCCCGACATCTGCCCCTCCTCCTAAAACAACAGCTGCTCATCACTTCTCATTCTGGGTTCATGGAGGTGTGTCTCCAGTCTGGGGTGAAGTTCAACACAATCTGATCTGACAGGCAACTTTTGGGAATCAAATGATTTCCCTCTTTTAGGTTTGTTACCAATATTCTTGATAAGACACGAAAGGATTGATACCACTCTCCTGTTTGTCCATTAAATCAAATTCTACCTTGAAATAGCAGCTTCACAAGTTAGTTTGAAGGTTCAATGACTTGAAATAGGGAGTTTAAAAAGCCCGAATCAGCTCCAGTAAGTTCAAGAGTAAAGCTGAATTGTAGATCAGTTAAAAAACAAATGTAGAATTTATTAAAAACAAGTGTTTATCTCCGACCTTCAGCTAAGAAACAAATAATCCTAAAATATGAAGAATTCTGAATAGAGTTTGGTGTATTTGTCACAGCGGCATCTCCTCTGGTTCAGGAAGCCGGGGATCATGGGTAATATCGACCGTGTTTCAGTTTAGTAAGTCAGACTTATATTTCTTCTGTACATGAAAACAGATTTTGTTACATTCTAACAGAGACAAGCAGTTTTCTGTCTTTCAGCTAAGTTAATCGTCTCCTGGCTTCGTATTTAATGGACAGATAAGAGAGTGTTATAGATCTTCTCCTACACTTTATGTTCCATGTGTAGGATTTGACTGATTTCCTGACACCACTCATCACTAACTTCACCACAGAGCTTAGAGACTCACCGAGGCATCACTAACCACAGTCCTGTCGCCTCCTTCAGGCAGAGCTGCTTCACACAATTTCTTTTACTGAACCGTCCTTTCTCAGAGCAATGATTTCAATCTGTTGTTATATTATTTCCCTGCTCGTGAAATAACTTCTACCTATGAAACGGCAGATATGCAGCAGCAGTGTTGTACACAACAGCAGAACACTGACACAACAGGGAGCATGGAGTGTGTTATTATGAAGCAGCACAAGATGCGACTTGTGACCTTGACCACATTCCTTCCATGCAAACAAAAACACAGCCTTCTTTTGATAGGAAGAGCACTGGTTTTTCTCATAACATTAGAAATATAATATTAATGACATCTGCTTAATGAATGGCAGTGTAACTCGTATTAAACCAGGACCCTGTTGAACGAGTGGGTTCATTTTATTCTTTACCAGTGCTTTTCCTACTGGGACATTCTATCCCACAATACACAACCACCACCGTTATCCCTCTACAGAAAATTTGCTTGATAAGAAAACAAAGCTAGACACTTTATTTCGTTTGTTTTAGACACTTACTGCTGCTTTGGCCATGAGGTTTGCCTTTTGTCTGCGCAGGTCAGATTTGATAAAACCTGCAGAGGAACAAACAGAGAATGGATAAAGTTTGAATGAGATAATAATGTAACTCTTGCATAATGTAACTTGAAATATAACCTTTATAACTGAATATATTGATTATATATTAAATTATACTATTCAGTATACACAATATGTAGGTCAATTTGATTTCACCTTGATGCAGCTCAGCAGCTTCATATGATTTGTGATCTTTTTCTGATTATAGCAATTACAGTTTCCCACAAAGCCTTTCTTCAAACAGGCCTGGTGATGAGTGAGTCTCATTTGTTCTAAAGTTGAGCAAGTTGCAAAATACAGTAGCTCACTGTGTTGACCTTTGTGAGCTGAAAGTGAGCTGCTTTTCAAAAGTTAAGTGCTTCACTGACGACTGCATGTTTAAAAAGTTACTGATTGCTCATAAAAGCCTCAATGGGCCGTGCAAAGTGGCTGCGTACTGACTGAGGCTAACCTGTAATGCCTGAAGTTTCTTACTCTAGGTTTATTTCCATCTCAGTGATGCAGTAATTTCCATTACTCAGTCAATGAACAACAAAATGTTTACAGCTCCTCCCTCTAACGTGTTTTTTTTTTTTTTTTAGAAACTTTGGTTTGGAGCTTCGTTAATGAAAAACATTCACTTTTGAGTGAGAGGGACGGAGAGTGGAACAAGGAAATGCCTGCGGTTACACACTCGTGTCCCAAAACGAGTTGAAAACAGCACAGTTTTGACTTTTTAAAGGAGATCAAAGAATTTCTGAGATCTCCAAAGCTTTAGCTGATGCTTAGGATCCAAATGTCTTTACTGTAAGCTATGAGCTATGAAAAAACTACTTCCCAAGTATTTGTAAATGTCTGAATCCCCACATTCAGCTCTGTAGAGTCCCTCAGGTTACACAGTAACTATCATCTACATTTTAAGACATTTTCCCACAGAAACACGAGTAAAAATCAGAAAGCACAAACACAGATGCTTCTTGTGCCCAGAGACCTTATGACTCAATACACAGAAAGTTCTTACCTGTCATTATTGTGCCGATTAGAAGAAAGACACAGAGGAAGATGTTTCCTGCCAACGTGCCAAAGGTGTCGATGATCTTCCCCTGGCAGATGGTGAATATGATGCCAAACACCTGCACATGCAGAACATGTGATAGTTAAACCAACATGTTTTGTGAGAGCCGCTCACACGCAGATTGCAGATTGGTCCTGTGAAGCTCTTACATGCTCACTTTGCACCTGGGATTCCACTCAGGTTTTTGCTTGGCTGTAAATTGCAGCATTTGCATGTTACAAATTTAGTGAGTATTTCCCCTGGTGAAAAGCCACACAAACATTGTTGCCATGGTAATCTACATGCAAATCAGTATTCAAATGCATTTACTTCCTTTATTATGAAAATCGTGTGGGAGGGACCATTTGGTTTGTGTGTGTGTGTGTGGCAGCTTCCTTCACAGGTGGGTGAGGTGGCCTTGGCAGAGGGTCATCAGTGAGGGACCGAATCTGTTTGAGCCAGGAGGCGATAAAATATGTTTCCTGTCGCAAAGCAAATTGAAAATTGAAGTGAAGTTCAACTTTGACCCACAGTATTCACTTCGCATTTGGGTTTGTGTGACGGTGCCGTAAAGCTGGAGCGCTGTTCTGGCTAACTCTCTTCCCTGAGACACCCCTCTGACTTTTTAAATCTTAGTGATAAAATTAGTATGTAAAATTGAATTCCAACAAAGCTACAACACTGAAGTTGATGCGACCTGCAAGAAAACCACTAATCCAATCTACTGTTGAGGATGATCCTTTCAGTCACTGAGTCGTACCTGTGCTGAACAGTTGAGGAGTCCAGAGGACGTTCCCTCAGACTCTGGGTACGTCAGCTCGACAGCAAACTCAAAGCCCAGCGGCAGGTAACCTGTCATGAAGAACCTGGACCCACACAAACACAAACACGTTATATATGTTAGTGGTTTTTAGGCCGACAGTGAACAACTCAGTATTCTTCCATTACCCCATAACACAAGGTACTAATTTGATCTAAATGTCATCGTACACCCCCTATTGCTTATTTTGGATTATTATTATTATTATTAATTATGGGCCACAAGCTCAGTACAGTGATGCGTGTTTTCTTTGCCCCTCCCTGTTCACACCTCACAATAGAATGCAAACTTTGTATTGACTAAAGGTTAACATCCTCCCAGTATCTAAGACTACAGCTTTTGTCATGACATTAAACAGGAACAACAGGTTTTGACAGCAGTCTAGTGGCATCAATTAAACAATTAAAAACTCGACATTGAAACAGTAGCAAAACTGTCCGAGAGTTGTTTTGAGGACCAGAAATACAAAGAGAAATATACATTCTTAGATTCTTCATCTGTGGCTCAAGGAATCTCCATTAACAAAACAAGCTTTCTGTTCGACAAGTGGCATGAATGTGGAAGTGCCTGACCTACATGTGAACACGCCTGGAGTATCATGTAGGCGTGCCTCACAGGAAAGGGTGAGTCCAACCTAGAAGAGCAATCTGTGCGACCGAAGAGGTGTTATTATGATTTCAAAACAGCCACATAAAAGTTCTAACTGTCTGTAAAAGTACTGCTGGCGTCTAGATACTTTTTTAATCCCATGACACAGGAGAGTTATGGAAGTAGACTGGATCATTCCACCCTGTAGAGATTTTAACTGTTATTTTATCCAACTATGTAGCCTTTAATTTCATGCACTGTACCAACATACTTGTAATCTGATAACCATCTGGAACACCACTTAACTGTCTAAACCTTAGACTGTGTATACAGATGGAAGACACGTCTCAATTTACTCCCACTATCAAGTAATATAGCCAAAATATCCCGGATGTGAATGTCACCATCTCGGCAGTCTGCGCAGTTGGATCGAGGGGACGGAGCTGTGGTATTGAGACCCCGCCGATATATACATGTGACCAATCACAAGTCAGTTTCAGCTGTCAATCATGATGTGTCATCCTGTTTTTTTTATAGCATCAAATAACTAATTTCAAGCATTATTGATTTAATATTCTATTGTTTTGAATATGTAAGTACGAGTACCCCAGAAAGCAGTGTCGATCAGATCAGATCGTGGATTATCCGTTAGGATTCCCACGGACAGGAGGATGAGTTACCTTGACCCTTTGTATCTTGACTTTTAATACTGGGTCAGTACAAAGGCAAATATTTTCCTGACATCCTACAGTGCATATGTCAAAACTTAGCCAAAGTTGACTGTTAAATAAACTCAATGTGCTGTAAATCATTGCTGCAAATGTCAACAGAAATATTGCACTTGGGGATATAAACATAACAGACTTCACAGTAGGAAGTAAGAATTTAATAGGGCATGTTGCAAAACCTTTTCTGCAGGTTTGTATCTATGACAGATTTTTTTCTTTTATTCACCTGCTGTGGACGAGACCCTGTCTGAAGAATGTGCAAATATAAATAAAGTAATTATTAGCTTATCTGTATTTTGACGATTTTTTAGCAAACACTATATATTTCTATGGAACTATCATTTCAGTTTTATCTCCTTTGGCTGAAATACATCTCATACTTCTATCCAAAGAAGAAAGAAGGAATGAACGTCAGAATACCCGAGAGATCCAGCTGTGATGAAGACCACCCAGAGGTGTCCCAGACTGAGTGTAGCTGCATAGACGATCATCCCCACCAGAGACATGAAGTAGACCGCAAGAGTGGTCTGCCTGGAACACACAAGAGACAATATACAACATCAAGCATAGTCATTATGATTTGAAGACAGAGGGCGCTGTAGCAGACCACAGCAACTTCTCAGTGGTTTGAATATGTAAAGATATTAAAAGCAGATATGATATCATCGACACCTCCACATTTTTGTCTTTGTCAATGCCCAAGAGGACGGAAATCGTCAGTGGACTAATTTTCTTTACATAAGTCATTCTTCGTTGAACTGAACCCATATCAGGCAACACAAAACAAAATGTCAAGTGAAAATATGTATCAAAAATAATCTGTTATATGTGAGAAAAGAAGTCAGAGGATACAAAACTGAGACTGAAAAAAGGATGGGAGACACAGGGAGGAAATGACTAAATGCTAAAGAGCAAAGGAGACTATGAGACACAGGGGTGAGGACGCATAAGTGTGCAGTTGTCAAGGAAATAGGAAACAACAGGAAGTGACGCTAGGGCAGAAAAAGAGTTTCAAAATAAAACAAAAGATAACAAAACTGAGGCAGAGACACTGTTAAACACAGAATACAAATTCAAAAAACACAAATATACAATAAGTCCATAACATCAATAAATAGTTCAAACACAAAGTCCCATCTCAAGTCTGAACAGGCCGAATCATGACGTTATTATTCTGCTGTTCAACAGGTGGCTGTAACACAGTGACATTATTCATTATATATATACATTTATAAAAGTGGTACCTTTTCCCTAACTCACTGTAAATCAATGATAGCAGCATTTAAAAGAGCTGCAGAACTATGCAGGAATGTGGAATCAGATTAAAATGTGCTGAAGTAAACTTGTCTCTGCATGTCAGTAACAAAAACTACTGCATTCCCTGATATGCAGGACAAAAGTCTGGCAAATAAGACAGAGGGGGTTGGATGAAGCCCCAGCTCCACAGGGTGGACACTGCTGTTGCTACACGGCCAGAGGGCCCATGAGGCAAGGGGTCACTGTTAGAGCGGTGTGTTGCAGCTGGATTAACACACGCAGAGCCAACACATACACACTAAAGATCTGTGGTGAGATGAGGAGGTGAACGACCCTAAACAGGTTCTTTCGACATTTGCCTTACTTATAGGTTTTAGTCTTGTCCAACCAGATGCCGCAGATCAGAGAGCCGACCATCCCTGCAATGATAATGGTGAGGCCGATCCTCCCAGCATTCACCTCTTCTCCCTGAAAGGTCGAGGAAGACAGATCATAAAGGCCAGTGATCTCTTGACCTCACATACTAAGTAAAGGCACGGCAGCTTCAGCTCACACAAAGGAGCAGAGGTGTGAGTTTAGATATAGTTTTCATCACATCAATGTCTCCACCACACATTCTGTTAAAGGACGGTCAAAGTGACTGAAAAGCTTCTGAAAGGAAACATTATACACATATTTATTCACATATCATAGAACCTATATAGTGTCATAGTATTTCTTCATGACATTAGCAGGACTATTAATACATTCACTGAAACTCAAGAGGAAATAAACTCTTTAACTCAGCGTCAACAGCGCAGTTCATTCATGTCATGTGACATTCAAATGCACCTTTACTGAAAAGCCTTTCCTTATTTTATCTGAGTAGTTTGTTTGATTATTATTGTATCTCATTTTATTTAATTTGACTGATACTGGTAAAATAACCCAGATCATACTTCTACCAGAAAGCTTCTCTTGATTTTATCTGAGCTGTTAATTTTGCTTACTCTGCATTATCATATATAATATAATTTTTTTTCCTAAATATCAAGGCAGATGCAACTTTTCGGGTCCTCAAATGACAAATTATATGTGCCAAAAAACGTTGGCGGCAGTGTGATTGACCAAACACTGTTGTGTTTACTTACAGGGTAATGCTCAATGATCATACGGTTGAGCAGGGTGCCAACAGCATAGAAACATCCTACGTTCAGACCTGTAGGTTTGGAAAACAACTGTCAAAGTAAAGCAGTGATCACCACAAGCCACAGGACAAAAATAACTTTAAGGAAACCTGGTGCGGAAGCTCTGAGCCGACTTCCTCCATCAGAATGATGAGATATAACAACATGAACAGTGGAAAAATATGGTCTTCACTTTTGTCTGATGAACCAAATCACACTGGTTTCCAAAACAAAGAGCCGTCCCGATCCAAGGATTTCTATAAAAGGTTTGCGTTTTTTCCTTGAACAAAGGTTTAAGATAAAGTCACTAACTCAGACAAAGAAACTACACCTTGATTATACAATAAAAAGGTAATTGACATACATTTTAATATCATATATGATTTAGAGAATAAAGTATTACACATTTGTCTGTTAAGCTGCAGCCTGCAGGACAGAGTGTGACAACCCCAGGTAAATGTCAGACTCTACATTGTTATCAGAAGTTTCAAGCTCACATACAGGAATCAAAAAGGTCAGGGAGACGCACTAATAATAGTCACGTTGATGTTGGGTCACGTGAAACGACACAGTCGGGTAAAAGGAGGTTAAAGTACTTCCTTTTTCACAGCTCACAGCTGTTGGTGAGAGCTGCTGTAACTGGACAAACTTGACAGACGGCATAGTAGATAAAAATACAGTTGCTAATAAATCTGCAGTTGAAGAGCTTTTTTTTTTTAGGGAAATCTCCTTAAGAATATATTTAAGAAGCAAAATTAAGAAGGTATCAGTAAATAAGGCCTGACGTTCATATCCCAGAGTCCCTTTCACATCATAAACTTTCTTTACCTTTGGGCCACATCGATCAAACCCATTTGTTAAACATTATCAGATCCATAAACAAACCTTGGACCCGAGCAGGACACATACTCGCTGTCATGTCTTTGGAATCTAGAATAATTGATGACTTTCTGTGCAGTGCAACAATATGAGGTTTAAAAGTCTTGTTAAACTTTAAAGGAAGGGTTGCTGTTTTTTCTACAGGAGGTTTACATGTATAATTAAAACCATTATCCAGGAAAGTCACTGACTGATGTGGTGCATGATTACCATGAGAGATAATACCCATTATATAACTGTAAACCAAATATTTTATAGAAAGGTCGACTACACGTCTCCAGTTCCGCAAAAATATACAAACATTTCCATCTCATGCCGGTGATGTGATTTGGAACTTCCTGGAAAAATAAACTCTTGAACATACACCAACAGGAACCATCTTTGAGAAATACTTGTGACGAGTATTTTCAGTTTGATCTATGTCCCATTTGCGAATATGGAGGAGGCTGGGTTTATGAAGTATACTGCAGCCACTCACCAGGGGGCAATCAAGATGCTTTGGCTTCATGTCGTCCATCGTTATAAACAGTCAATGCTTTAAACTAACAGCTGTTACTGTCGAGAGCGATGATGACCGACCGTAAGTGATGATGAGGAAGATGAAGGGCTTGTTGCGCAGCAGCCTGAGGATGGAGGCAGTGTAGGAGTACTGCTCTGGCGGGATGCTACGAGCTGTGGCCTGGGCCTTAGTCGGGGGAAGTTCGGGACGTTCCTGGAAGACTGGAAATAAGAAGAGGACCAAAAGGATTATCACACACTGATAAAAGCAGCAGCAAACTCTTCTTCACTCAGAAATATACATGAAAATGCCAGTTACAGGAGAACAGGTCATTCAGCAATAGGCACGTCGTATCAGTCTGCTTGCATTCTGGTGACTTCTTATACCTCGTTGAGATCTTCAGTTATTGGTCAAGTTCATAATTTCAAGCTTATGTCGTATTAATAACCACCGTTCAAATCTACAGAGCTGTGATTGTAATTATAGTCAATATTGCACAAAGAAACAAAAACACAAAATGCTGAAATACAACAATTGGCTGATGATTTCTAAGATGTCGTTATCAAACCCTTATAACAAGGAAATGTAATTTTATATTACCAAATGGATAGAACAATAAACCAAGCAAATAAAAAATCTGGAACAAGAAGATATCACATACAGTAGTATTGTCACAAAATGAAAGTATTGGGATTTAACAGGCTAAAGCCATAGTCACAGGTTGCACAGGGCCGCAAACCTCTGAAATGTGGAACACATGCATGTGTCACTGTATATATGAGACGTCTATGTTTAGTGTATAGCTCTGCTCACACACTCACACATTTTGACACCATGCACGTCTGAAGGACAAATGGCCAGTCACTGTCACCTTCAGTGACCCGTTTCTTTCTCCTGGGTGAAAGCGGTCGTCCTCAGGCCTCATGGAGAAACACAGATGTCTTGTCTTTGTGGTTCTTGGTGCCAAGCCAGCACTTTTCTCCCCGTGGTCAGTCTGAACTGAGGATTTATGGCGAGTAAAGATTTCTCAACTCTAAAAGTGCAGGCTCAGTAATTTCCACATTATCCCAGCTGCATTTTACTGCATGAGAGGCCACTGTCATTCAATGTTCTTCCACCCATCCCAGTTAACACTGGGGGAGAGGCAGGGTACCCCCTGGGCAGGTCAGTCTTGTATGACAGAGGCTGACACAGACAAGCATCCATTCATGCACACATTCACACCTAGAGAGTGTCTCCAATTAACCTGCATGTTTTGGGGCCATGGGAGGAAGCCGGCATACCTGGAGAACCTCCACACAGAAAGACCTTGGCTGGCCGTCAGGTTCCAACTCTTGTTAGTAGATAATGAGTACATTTTAATTGTTCGGTGAACTGTCCCTCTAATGCGGTGAGGTGACAGCGCAAACCACTGCACCACTGTGCCGCCCTTTATTCAGAGTCATTCAAAGGGAAAGCAAAGTTTTATTCAAACAGCTTTAGCAGCTCTCATACTGTTTACTTATATTTATTTCAAAAACTTGGTTGTGCCTGCTAATTCTCCCTAAACGCCCGGGGATCCTTCTCATTCACTCGACCAAATCCACTCTATTATGTCTTCATGCAGACTGTCTCTGTGTCTTTCAGAGGACGGCAGCAGCCAAAACGTCTTCTCTCACCTCTCTTTAGACACAGTTCATGCAAATCTGTGAATCCTGGGACTTAGTCCATCCTGCTGACAGGTTCACAGGCCTGCTGCGGGGCTACAGATGGCCCGGCCAGCAGGACAACCCTCACACATCTCGCATGTATGTGTGAGGGTTGATATGTGTGTGCGAGTATATGCGTCACATCATGAAACTACTGTGGCCAGCTGGTGAGTTTTTCTTGCTGGAGTAAGCGATAGCAACACGAGTCACATGCCTTTATAACGTCCATCACATGACCTAAAGTGGAGGAGAGTGTTGTTGCGGAGAAGTAAAAGTAATCTGGGCCCTGATGAATGGTAGATAGAAAATTATTTGTTTGGAGAGCAAGGTGATGAGGGTGGATTCTGTATTTTTATGCTTTACCTCTAGCATATCTTTCCTTCAAGTGTGTTTAAATGAAACGTCAGAATATAAGATGTCTTAACAGAAGAGTTTGCAAGATGATTGTCATTGTCTTTTTTTGTGCAATTCAACTTTTGTATATTAACTTGTAATGAAACAACCTTGTTCAACAGGTGAACAACTAGACTTGGACAAGCACTGCAAATACTTTGTGATGAGGTCATATTTGGACTTTTTGAAAATAAAGAGGGTTTGTCACAGAAATATTTTTGCTTTGCTTAGCACAAAGATTTGCAGCTTATTTCAACACATAGAGGGAAACAGAGAGGGGAAACACCGGAAACTCTAAAAGTTCAAATAAGGTGCATCTTTGACCTACTTTCATGCAATCATATCTAATTCAGATTCTGTTATGTATCTGTTCAGAAACCAAATTACATCCTGTAAAACAACCACTTGGAAGGTAAATTCTGTAACCGTTTGGCTGCCTCCTCCTGTTTCGAGTCATTATGCAAAGCTATGCTAACCGTCCACAGGCTGTGGCTTCATATTTGGCTTTGCTGGTTTCAATCCTCTCATTTTACTATGTGCGTAATATTAAAATACTGAACTATTCCTTTAAGCTGTAACCGGGGGTTCCTGGTTCATAAATCATGAACCAGGCTCATAAAAGTGTCTGATTCAAAAATGCACATTGAACAACTTTCCGATGGTCACATGGACAGAGCTGCAGTCTGCGTATCAAGGTGCACTTTAAACAACAGGAGGGGACTGTAGTCAAAATTCAACAGCGACAGTTCATGCAGTCTAAATGTTGTGCATGGTCCTACTATGGAATGCCCTCACAAGCATGCTTTTGTGTTTCTGGACGCAGACGAGCGCCTCGACCCGCCATCCTCCATCCTCCCCCCCGACATTACAGGACAACAGCTTTTTCATACGCGTCGTTCCTGTCTGACAACTGCTCTGTCCAGTGTTCTCTGTCGTTAACACACAGTTCTCTATCTACTGCTGTCATTTATTATTCATCTGACTCGTCACCAAATAACACAACACACGAATCTTGTTTTTGAGTGATACAAATGTACAGAAACTGATTTAATTGAACATGTGAGCTATTACTTGCAATTAAAAGCATAAATTCTAAAAGATTATATTGTAGAATTGTAGGATTAAGACTATAGTGGTCGAATTGCAGAAGTAGCAGATACAAGGCAACTCAGCATTTTTTTTGACAGCTCATCACTCATTTGTCATGCCATGTAAACCACTTCCTTCTTTGAGTCCTTCTCTTACTATAGTTTCTCTATTTTAATAAATATATCTATAAGCAGCATTTAATTTACAAATTTTACAAACAGATTTTAGTGTGCCAGAGCACTCGTGTACATTTGTTCCCATTTCCATTGACACTTCTCCTGACCTCACATCTACGACAATAGTTTCTTTTCTGCCTCCCCCTCAGGAAGGGTTCTGTGTTGGTGCCAGCATGGTCAGCACTTTTCTTATCCACTGCTAAGCAGTTTTCTCTCGTGCTTCTTGTCAGAGTTTAGGTCTGCTGTAAAATCATTTAACATCATTGGGTAGATAATGTTTAGATGTTGGTTTCAGATGGAGAAGTGCCATTGGCCTGGTAGAAAAATAAAGGCATCAAGAAGTCTGAGTGTAACGAGGGAAAGCTTAGTGAGGTGATGATGTTTTTGATTGAATTCATTTTACTCAGATGATTTTTTTGTTTTCTATGATAGTAAACTCAGCATCAAACTTCCATTTTTGACTGGTGGTCAAACCAAACTACGAAGATTTACAATAAATATGACAAATAATAATAGGAGGTATTTTTTGACAAAACTGTCTGAAATATTGACAATGAAAACAATTGCTGGCTGCAGCCACAGAGTACCTCAATGAAGGCTACCTCGAGCTAAGTTTTCTGTGTGTTCATTGACAAACAAGATTACAACTAACAAACACAATGTGGAGTCAAACTAAGTTCTTAAATCTAAATGAACCTTCACAAGACAAGAGCCACGAGACAGAGAATGGAGGACCCAAGGTATTTCAGTGGTGCAAACCTCGGACAAATGTGCTATCAATACAATCATGCAGAAAATATATTATCTTACCGAAGACAACAAGGATGAAGAGTAAGGTCGCCACCCCTGCTGTGATGTAGAACATAATGCTGATGTGGTGAGCCAGTTTGTCCATGTCGTCCACATTAGGCACCAGCATGGGAGGCACAAGGAACCCGATGGCGATGCCCAGCTGTGTGACGAGGAACACATACAACGCAAATTACAGAAAGAGAGGACACAGAGCTAAATGGTTGTTTTTGAGGTAACATGAAATCACAGTGGATTAGAAAAAATGGTGCTTAAACCTCACTGCTCATATATTCTGATCGTGTGTAACCACACCATGTAGATGTAGAAGCCATTTTTGCTTGTGTTGCCATGTTCTAAGTGCATATTAGAGGGATTCAATACTTATTATTCAAAACTGTTGCTTTGCGACTGGTTTAAATGTACATTTTTAAGACCCTGATATAAATAATTGATAAATACATTTATTTTAGAAAATTCTCCATCTCTTATCTGTAACTTATTTAACTTAACATTCCTGAGGTTAAACATTTTTGCCTAAGAGTAAAATCGACTTAGATAACCACATTATCATATTTCTACAAATTAAGGTTGCTCTATAACATATTTTAAAGGCATCATTGTCATATGACTAATTCAACACAGAATTTAGATACTGGGACTCAATATTTTCACATTCAAACCTCTAAACAGACCTAGTGGGACGAGAAGGTTTCAGGAAACGGTTAACTTAATTCTCAGGCCTCTCACACTGAGACACTAGAAGTCCTATGTGACTCTGGCATCTCGTGCTGCGCTGCATAATCTACATGCAGCTATCAGACAGTTCATACAACTCTATGAGTCTCCTGCTGCAGGAGAACAAATTAAATGATTAATTTGATATTCAGACAAACCTGGTTTCCCAGAACTCCTATGGAACAGGCAGTGGAGACCTCTTTCTCTCCAAACCACACTGAGGCAAGGTAAGAGGGAATACCAAGCACAAACACAGTGGCTACTGAGCACACAAACTGGCCAAAGAAGGTGACTGGGAACAGATTGGGACTTGCACTACCAATTTTTATCCATGCGCCAATGCAATTGAAGGCTGAACCAACGAGGACGACATCCCGGATGCCCCTGTGTTCCAGAAGCCACAGGACGGGCAGAATGAGAGGGATATATGTGAGTAGATATATCATAGACAGCCAGTCGATGGCCAGAGAGTCTATGTTGTAAAAGCGCATGAAAATGTTGCTGATGATGCCGTACTGGAGCCACATGAAGGCGTTGCTGGCTGAGACGGCGCTGAAGAGAAACAGCATGAACCAGCGGCGGTGGTACAGTTTGGTCTCAGGCTTCCGGACCAGCTGCACGTGGTCACCTCGTAAGCCCACCATGTCGTCCAGCTGGGAACCCACGGAGATTGCTCTACCCAGAGGTCCCGGGCTCCACTGCAGCGAAGAGAGGCCTGGAGCGAGCTTGTTTGCAGCCTTGGACCGCAGCCACTCGTCACCACCGAGTTCAGAATTTGCTCGGTTGCCTTTCAAAGTATTGTTTCGTGGCATTGTGACTGTCCCAGAGTGGGGGGGGGGTGGCCTCCTGGAACGTGAGAAGTGAGAGATGCCGGAGCTTGTGTCCCTAACGGCTCGCTGTCCTGAACGCAAACTGCTCCCTGTCCATTCACAGCTAAGTGAATGTGAGCATCTATACCACACGTCCACATATTTGTTACCTTCAGTCCTGTCATGTGATGTTAACAGAGGAGTTCGGCCAATTACACTCAAACCACTCCCACCTACTCGGACCCTGGATTATCTTTAGTTAACTGTCCAGTGACCCCTGAAAACTGTAACACACATTTCTTTGTGTTGATTAAGTTAACTCATTTGAATGTAAGGAAGATTTGGATTTGCTGCAAAAGCTTAATGATTCCATGTCTGTGTTATTATTTAACTACAGGAAGCATTATACAGAAGATTCATTTGCTTCCAGCCCTTTGTATCGGCTGCTGTTTAAAATGTGCATCCTACCACAGACTTTTGTAAATGTACAGTGAAGCCTTCTTTTGTCTTAGAGACAATGCTCAGACGTACGTTCCCTCCTGCAGAGGAGTGGGGTGTGATAACACGTACTGATATAAAGGCTGTCTGGCCACTGCAAGATAACCTGTGTCACAAGCCGAACTGAGACCTAATCTGTCTATATGTCTGAAGGAGTTGTGTCAAACTGAGACCTAATCTCTCTGTAGGTCGGTGGTAGTGTTAAAGGAATGTTTGTATTATGTTAAGGGTTCATTGTGTAAGACTATAGGTGAAAGGGATCTATTGGCAGAAATTGAATATAAATTAATCCTAGCAGTGTTTTCATTGGTGTGTAATAATCTAAATTGTACAAATTGTTGTTTCTTTACCCTAGAATTGCCCTTTTATATTTAAATACTTTATATTTACATCAGGAGGGGGTCCTCTCTAAGGAGGCCGCTATGTTTTTTACAGTCGTCAAGACAAGAAAAATTGAGGGCTACCACAGGTATTTTTTTGTGTTTGTAAGGGGAGGGTAAGGTGAGGGGTATTCAGCTGCAACATGCAAATTCACCACTTAATTCTACACACTGAACCTTTAAAGCTAAGTCTGAAGAACAACACTTCACGTGCTGAAGCATCACCATCTGCTTTTAAGTGCCTGGACACACGCAACGGAGGATTTGTAGGAAGTATGTTTGTTATTATTTACAGACGCTGCATCCAAAAGACACACACATGGTGAACAGAGTACACAAGCACAGCAAACTTCTCCGGAGCTAAGCGATGACTTTCAGTCGCATGTCACTTTTGATGCTGAAGTTGACTCAAGTGTTGTTTGTTCAAAATCTTGTTGGTTACATCTGATGTTCGTGAGCTTAAATTAAATTTCCAGTGGAATGATGCAGACGTTTGCTGTTCTGTCTGCGCCTGGTAAAATTGTGCTGCTGCGACTTATTTAGATGAACAGAATACAAAAACAGCACATTCATGTTTTACGTGTGTGGATAAACACTAAATGACAACGTAGAGGATTCTGTGTGTTGTTGTTTCACAAGATCAGTCGGACAAATTTATGGGATAAAAATTCCAGAAAAATGTTTTGGTCTTTGAAGTGACTTAACAAAACAAATGTGGCTGCCAACTGTATGACTCCCACTCAGACTTTGAATGAGCTGCAGTGAACAGACTTCGGGGGGCAGCTGTGGTTCAGGACATAGGGTGGGTTGTCCACTAACCAGAGGGTCAGCTGTTCCATCTTAGTTTCCCCCATTCTGCATGCCAAAGTGTCCTTGTGCAAAATACAGAACACCAAACTGCCCCTTGATGGCTGTGCCAAGCATATATGAATGATGTGTGATAGAGAAAGAGCTGCACATAGATGCACTGTACAAATGTGTGTGAATGGGTGAATGGGTGAATGGAAAAAACTGTACAAGTCAAGAACTTAGAGTGGTCATCAACACCAGAAAAGCCAATAATAATTGTATATTATGTAATTTGTCCCATAAATCAAATATATAAACTTGAGCAAACTTTGCCACACTTTCATGATTTCCAACTGATTTCCGTTTACACACTTTCAATTGATTTCAACTGATTGATTCATTAGTTTTTCTTTTAAAATGGTATCAATAGTTGCTCTCTTCATGTTCATGTTTTTGTGTGTGGATACATTTAAGAGTGTACAGGATTGTGTGTATGGTTGTTTCACAATACCACAAAAAGTGTTTTCATCATTGATGTGTCGAAACAAAAAAATATGGCTGCCTTCAAACTATTAGACTCCCACGAAGATTTTGAAAAACGTTCAGTGAGACCAAGTGCACTGGAAATCAACTGCGAAAATTGCCTGTTGATTTTCCCCAACTTTGATGTTTTCAAAAGTATTTGATTTTCAGTTTTTTAACTATTGTAATTGATTCACGCGAATGTGGAACTGTCTTTAGTTTTCTTTCGAAAAGTGTCACAATAGGCAAATTGTTTCAAAATGAGCCTTTTAGAAAAACACACATCCATATGTTTCATGCTGATAATGTGATCACACGTGTCTAAACTATGTGTGTAGAGATATGTTTCTCCATTGAGTTTAGCACATATAACATGATAAGAGATCATGTTTAGTCTTCCTCTTATTGATTTATTTTGTCTGTTTGGAGGGTCATGTGATTTCAGTATAAATCCATGTCTCTCCCTGCATGCGTCACTGTGTGTTGCTCCCATTCATTCTCTCACGACCTTAGTAAACAGCGTTAAGCCCTGGACGCACAAGAGAAGCACTGTGGTCGCCTGGACGTGCGTAATTACGCAGACGTGCCAAATAGATGTGGGATTGCCCAAATCACTGGTGGTGAGTGTAGCTCGTACACAGGCCTACGGATTAAATGAGTAATCAAGTAGGTGAAGACCAAACTTGACCTGAATTCACAGACGAGAAGACAGCGTTGGCCTCCCAGCTCACTTACCTGATTCCCAAAGACTCCGATGGAGCAGGCGGTGGACACCTCTTCCGAGCCGAACCACACCGAGGCGATCCTCGACGGCATCCCGAGGATGAACACCTGCGCCAGGGAGCAGCAGGACTGGCCCAGGAAGGTGACGGCGAACAGGTTGGGTTTGACGCTGGCCACCTTGATCCACGTCCCGACGCAGTTGAGCGTGGTGGCCATCAGCGCGATGACCCGCAGCCCCCGCTTGTCCAGGAGCCAGGTGACCGGGAAAATGAAGGGAATATACGTCAGCATGTAGATCATGGACATCCAGTCTATGGTGAAGGCGTCCACGTTGTAGAACTTCATGAAAATGTTGCTGATGATGCCGTACTGGATCCACTGGAAGGAGTTGGACAGAGAGTAGCAGCTGAAGAGGAGCACGATCATCCAGCGCCGGCGGTACAGGCGGGTGGTCGGCGTCGCTTCATGACCGTCCTTCAGCTTGTTTTCGTCGGCGCACCGCGTCGGGTCCCCCGCCTCCTCCTCCTGCTGCTGCTGCTGCTGCTGGGCATGGTCCTCTTTGGTCTGACCCTGGTTAAGTTTAGTATCTTCCAGCGCTGGTTCCTCGCTCATATTAGTCTCTTCGACAAAGTTTTCTCTCAAGCACTGAGTGAGGCGGAGACTCGTCTGGTCTCATAGGTGAACGATCACCTCTGGGCGAAAGAGTCACGATAAGAACAACCAGGTCAACCACGTTTATCGCCTTAAACTCAAAACTTAATGTTTCCAATCTCACTCATTCTGATCTGAAGGGTTTATAACCAGAGGGTGAAGTCTCTACAACATGCGGATCCACGCATGGGTCACCTCCCCCCCGGATTGGAGACTCTATACTTAACGAACTCGTGAACTCAAACGCCCGCGTGGTTCAAATCATTTCCAGTCAGAGATTCGTAAAGAATGATTCAGATTTAGCTCGTGGGACTTTCCCGACTGTCTCACACGTGTAAGGTAATTGTTGAGTCTCCACCCCATAAAACAAACCGCTTTCAGATTTTGAAAAGTCTCATCTCAGCCCATGGGGCGGAGCTTCATGAACAGCCATGCTGGGGTTCGAACATCCTTTTACAATCAAACATCTCACTATTAAAACCAGAAACAACCAGGAAATTCTGCTGTTCATTAGTTCAATGTGTCTCATAACGAATTTATCCAATATTTCCTGTAGAAGAACTTTATCACAACTTTATATCCCAGTTTAAAACATTTCAATCAACAGTTATGAATCTGACCTCTAATGGTTCAATGGTTGAACAAAAAGAGACACAAAAGTCTCAGTTTTGTCCAAGAACATTAAACAGATTTTACCCATCCAGTACAGGTCATGAAGGATTATTATTAATCTTGTTCAGCTACTGTAATTTTCATACTAGTCAACACTGCCATCTAAAGGGCAAATCAAAACACCGAGGTTTTTGTTTTTTCATGCCCCCTGTTATCAGCATCTGTGCAGACTTCACACACCCACACAGAAGAACACATTGTGTCCTTCACCGAAGAACAATGACAAAAAGGCACGTCGACAACACAGAAGATTACACAAGAGACATCACATTTCACGAATATCTCACCAAATCAGCACAGTCCCCCATAGGTGATCATCCATGTGGGAATTTGTGTCATCGCATTGGATTGACACTTTTGGACCCACAACACAACACAACACAACGCACATGGAGGTTGAAGTGTGTGTGTTTTTGAGGATGAGTTGCCTGAACATATTTATGCCATTAGGACTTTTAAAGGTCCAGTGTGTAAGATTTAGATGAACAGGATCTATAGGCAGAAATTTAATGTAGAATAATCCTCATGATGTTTTCACTACTTCGTTTCATCTAAATTGTACGAATCGTAGTTTTCTAGTGGGTCCTCTCTACGGAGGCCGCCATTTTTTACAGTAGTCCAGACTGGAATAACTAAACACCTTTTGAGTTTTTAGGAAAACTGAAGCTACCACAGGTTCTTTTTCATGTTTGGAAGGGGAGGGTGAGGTGAGGGGTATTCAGCTGTAACATGCAATATCAACACTAGATGTCACTAAATTCTACACACTGAACCTTAAATGTCAAATATCCAGAGGGGACCATTTCTTTGAAGGTTATGACTGTTGAGGTTTAATCCCTATAGTCCTCGGAGGGGGAGCCATGCAACAATAAACTTTCTGGTTTCTGCCTTCACCTGAAATGAGTTCAGTCACCTGCTCTGTCTGTTGTGATGATGAGCCCACAATGTCACCTCCTCATACCTCCCAGGCCTCGTCCTTCCTTTTCTTCAGATTAGTCACCCTGATGAAAGCCAGGGTGCCGCAACTTGTAGGTCTCTTCATTGCCATGCCTAAGCCATACTTATATATATGGTGGCCCTGAGAGTTTAACACACAGCAACTTAAGAATCTTCATCAATAACACGAGTGGCAAATAGAAATTAATAGTAAACTGCAAATACGTACAACACAATAGAAGTGTTTCCACGGGACAGGATTTTTAGTTTTTTTCACCATTTGCATGTTTTCTTACATTGTAGCACATGGAGCTTGCAGAGCCACCGTAAATAACAGTTTAAAAACATTTTAAAACAAGATTGCATTGGTTTATTTCCCTTTTTTTTTTTACATTAAAATGTATCTCTCCTGCACCAATACACATATATTTCCAAACAGATGCACACACATTTTCTTCGATTCTTCATGAAAATACAGTTTCAGAAAAGATCATCCAAAAGGCATCACATTTAATAAATATCTCTGCTGGGCCTTCTCACAAAAGTACACAGGTCAAGATCCGTTAAATGCCCGTTCTTCACAGCCAACCATTCTTCTTTTCTTTTTGGTGCACCTAAGCCTATTTATAGGATCTTACATGTTACATTCTGTTTGTCCACAATCAAATCTGTCAAAAAAAAGCTCCTGAGCATCTACATTTACACACAGAAACACACTCTAACACATGGAAATCTAAACATGGCAGGATGACAAAGGTCTTCTATAACTTAAACTTATAAACAAGCACTTTACAATAAAAAAAACATATTGACTAAGTCACCTGAACTTATAGTAAGTTGGTAATTGTGCTCCAATGTAAACATAGACTGATAATTCTCGCCATCAAGTCATTTAAGGTCACATATATCAGTCAGAGAAATGCAGAATAACGTGTGGAAGGAAAATAAATAGTTTTGAATACTGCGTGTTACAGTTTGGGTTGAATACTGTTATTGTTTGGCAGACTCATCAGCCCGTCACGTTACTCCTTCATCAGTTTTGAACAATGGTTAGCATCTATAGACACATCTCTGGTCAGTCTTTCTCCTTTGAGGTCAGTCGTCTGTTTGCTGGCTTGGCCGTCTCACAGGGCAGTTGGGGGGGTCAGTGCTGGTAGTGTGGTACGGCGATGTGCGGTTGGTGGTAGCTGCCATGGTGAGGAGGGTAGAGGAGGTCGGGGGTCTGAGGGGCCAGGCCGGTGCACAGAGGCTCGTGGCTGCTCAGCACAGAGGACAGGTACTTGGCCTCTTCGGTCAGCTGCTTCACCTCCTTCCTCAGGGCAGCGTTCTCCTTCTCCAGGTTCTCGCTCTCCTGGAGACACAGAGGGTGATAAAAGTGGTTAGATCGGATGATATAATGCTGCTCATCTCTTATCAATGGAATAACCAATTTCAATTTCTTGACCTTCAGCAGCTTCAAAATTATTCTGATGGTGTACTGACTAGGAATCGGGAGAATGATGCCACTCCTACTCCTAATCCTGAGGAGTGGGACTTCTGTGTAACTTTAGTGAGTGGGTATGATCTCATGTGAGAAGTGTGTAACTGACAGACGCATCTAAAATCTTCAGGAGTTGAACTGTGGATCAATTAAAAACATTTAGAGTTTATTAAAGACCATTGTTTATCTCCAATATTCAGCGAGGAAATACAAATATTCCTAAACAGAGTTCAGTGTGTTTGTTAAAGCAGCAGGTCTTTTTGGTCAGGAAACAGGGGATTATTGGTCAAATCTATAATTTAACTGGGTTTCAGTTCAATGAGTGGGACTACAGAATGAATCACTGTTTGGCTGCAGAGGGCGCTGCTGCTCAGTAAAAGTTACATAGTGTTGCTTTAATATATGTCACTTAAGTCTATTGACCTGTTTCTTTACATAATTAAATAAATGAAAAGGTGCAGGTTAGTTAAAACACAATAAAAGGAAGCTGAAGTGTGAAAATGATGTTGTTAATGTGTAAAAAAAAAATGCTGCTGTCACATCAAAGTATGAACATGGACTCAAACATAAACTTTAAATGATCAACCGTGTGCAGCTTAAAGCAGCAATTCTAAAAAGTTCAAACATTTTTGATGATGTAAGTGCAGTTTCTGAAGATTTCTTACTGATCATCTACTTTGAGATAACAAAGTAGAGCACACTGCACTTCACAAGTTGATAGCATTGTGTGTGTGGGGGGGGAACAGCATGGGAGAAATATTCCACTCGGTTAATATAAAGGTCATCACATCGTGGGCAAGAGATCATAATACCGAGCTGCAGGTCCTTACTGTCACAGAACCTTTGGGCAAACCCCTGTTTTCTGCGTCACTTGGCCGAAAACAGCCCACTGCTATCAGCTTTTACAAGAAGTGACTGCCTCTTTTTACTCTCCTGCCCACGACACCAAATTTCAAGCTCATTTACACAGTAGAGAAGAAATACTACTGAAGAAACAGGAAATAAGCCACTGTGTCACAAAGAGGGAAACTTTCCTGTTTATCTAGACACGATGAAAGCAAACCACAGAATGTGATATTTGCGGTCCCCCGGTTTTCTCAACGACTGCCACCAGGGTTAAAGAGATTGACAATATACACGCAGCGTACTTCAGGGTAAAGGATTCTCAGATATTTAAATCAGTTGGACCTGATGTAGATGACAATGTGCCCTTTCTAAAATCTTGTCAGTTCATCTGATATATTTCAGAGAAACCGCTGCTCTTAACGTGGTGACACAAGCACAAATCATTGTCCTTCAACAAGGAAGTCACATGGCGGGTTAATGCTTGTTCAGAGTGTGGAAATATGGGCTGATACTGACAGCAAGATCAGGTAAAGTATAAATAAAGAGGTATTTATAACAAAATTAAAAAATTGCCTGAGAAAATATTGAGTTCATAGACCTGATTTAAAGGTTGAATAACTAGAGATGTGGAGCAATGAGAGACCCCTGCACATCCATACATTTGGAGGTAGAGCAGTCCAAATGCTTGCACTCTTTTTGAAGCATCATCTTGTGCCGAAGTCCAGCAAGTACAAGCTGAAACAACAGATGAGGGGTGACGAACAAAGCGGCTACCCCCAAACACGCTCCTGTCATCAGAATCAGCAGAACTGCACACCCTCTCTGGTGCTGGACGCTGCTGCGACAGGGAGCGACTGCCCACACGTGCTAATTTATTCCTGAGGCTTCTGCAAACATGCAGAGCGGCATCCAAGTGTGCGGGCCTGACAGAAGCCGTGACACATCGCCACATGGTCAGGTATAGAATTTTGTAAATATAGTACAAATCCATTCCTGGAGGCTTAAAAGCAAAGAGCACTTTTTGTTTAGGTCCATATATCGTGGAGTTGGGTGGGAAACTGATTTGGCCCACATGCTGCACTTGTTTACCTCAACATTATACACAAAAACTCTTTCTAGCTCGTCGTGGGAACCATTGGGTTTCTCTGCGATTTTCTAAGGTCTTCATATTTCTATGTAAAGTGCCTAGAGATAATGTATGTTGGGATTTGCCGCTATAGAAAATTGAAAACTGCATATTTCATATTCTGCAACAACACCTTCAACTAGCGCTCCACCAACCTCTCTGTGTTTACCTTGCATGTGGATAATCTGATTTGTAACTTGCACTGCATTCGATTAAAATTCCTACAGAATAAAAGCTTTTGATGCTAGGAATTTAGCTTTATTTATACTTTAAATTATTGAGCAGTACCTTATTGAGAAACTGCTTCCACATTTAATCTCATGTGATTTCTCTGCCACCCTGGCTTTTGTCTCTTTGACTAATTTTTTGAGAAGCAGAGGTCAGTGTGAAACTGTTTCATGGTGCGTTAGTGAGTGTGTGTCTCTCCTCACCAGGTGTAGGCTGTCGGCTTTCTGAGTTTGCCTCATCCTGCTCTTCTGAGCAGCGATCCTGTTCTTCTCCCTCCGCATCACCTTCTTCACGTCGTCTGAGGAGCTCTGACAAAACACAAATGCTGACAGT